GCCAGCCATTTCCCATCAGGGTTCTCACTCCCTGTGCTCTTCCTGTTATATGCTTTAAATTCTTTATGCCAAGGAGTGTGTCCTGGTTGGGTTGTGAAAGGTGGCATCACAGGTGAGGGGGAGGAATGGACAATGGCCAGTAGAGGCGAACCGGCTGGCTAGCTGGCTTTTCTTCCACCTGTGTGTCCTGCCTGGGCTGTGGAAGTCCAGTCTGCTGGAAAAGCCCGGGGTTCCTGAGATGCTGGGATTGCATGTGTCTCTGTCCCTTTTGTGCTTCTGTAACAGAATACCACAGACTGGGTAATATATGAAGAAAAGAAATGTATTTCTTACAGTTCTGGAGGTTGGGAAGTCTAAGGTTGAGGGATCCACAACTGGTAAGGGCTTTTTTGCAGCATCATAACATGGCAGAAGGCATTACATGGTGAGAGAGTGTGAGAGAAGGTGGGGAAAGAGGCCAAACGCCTGCTTTTATCAGGAACCCACAGTAACTTACCCACTCCTGGGCTGACTAACCCACTCCCTCCATGATGACATTGATCCATGCATGGGGGCAGTACCCTCATGATCTAATCACCATCCATTGGGCCTCACCTCCCAACGCTGTTGCATTGGGGATTAAGCTTCTAACACGTGAACTTTTGGGGTGCATTCAAACCGTAGAGTGTGTTTGCTGATGGATTCTGCCAGCTAAGAGAGACAAAGTCCCTGGCTCTCTGTGTCCCACACGGCACCGGAGATCAGGCTGGACCAACTGAGATATTTCCCAGATGAGTCAGAAAAAGAATAATAGAAGCAGCAAGTGGGAATTGAAAGGACAGGTGGAGAGGAGGAAGTCATTTTTTATCTTGTTCCTAAATTCTATCATAATGATGAGAAAGTAGAGGCTGTGTCCTGGAGAAATACATACTCTAGGTAAAGATTAACTTTGCCGACTTTGTCTTTTCAGAAACACAGACTCCTTAAGCATGACCAGTACTGGTCTGTTGTAATTTGTCTTTTTAGAAACTCAAATTTCTCAAGCACGACCAGTATTGACTCATGGTATACTCAGTGCATGGTGACCAGGACCCCCCTCAGGGTCTCCAAGACATCTGCAAGTAGTTAACAAGGAAGTCACGACAGTCTCGTCTACCTGATTGCAACATCTCCAGGGGAGAGGATTTAAGTCAAGGCTCAGGGGGCTACAGTGCCACACTCATCTAGAGTGTAGGCCCGCTTCCTGTCTGTGGGAAGTGAACTTTTCTTAAATAAATCTTTTCTTCTTTCACCTCTTTGTGTGTTGCAAATCTTTGCACTACTCAGATCTCTGGTTACCACTGCATGCCTCTGGCATGACAGCTCTGTTGGTGCCGCACCCCTCCCCATCCATCCATCTATCCACCCTCACCCTATCTGTACCCTAACAGGAATTGTAGCTAAGGAGGAAACAGAGGGGCCCCACAAGTGAGATGCTGTAAGGAGTAGACTAGGCAGGGGGCAGGAGGGGTAGCCACTGGCAACAGACTGAGAGGGAAGAGGAAGGTGAAGGTCTGTGCTTCAGGCTGTAGAGTGTGGGTGAGTGAGGCTGTGGAGGCTCTGGGACCATGCGGCGCAACAGCCATCTACCCTGGGCTCAGAAAATATAGACTAGGCGAAGATGGAAAAGACCCCATGGGAAGGTTGTAGATTCCTGTTTTTCAGCAAGGCTCCCCTGTTGCCTCCCACCCTGGTCCCAGCAGTACTTGAGGTTTCGTGGGGTGAAGTGGGAAGAGCTGAGAGGAATAACAAGGCGAGGAGGCAAGCACCTCCATCTCATTGTTCCCCCTTTCCCCCCCACCCAGGACTGCCCTGCTCTCGGTCCTCCTAGGTTGGAAGGTAGGACTCAGACAGAACAACTGGCTGAGTCTGGGCTCTGTGAGGTGGGGGCAGGGAAAGAGAACAGAGCAAATGGGAGTGATGGGGCTCCTGGTCTTCAGGAAGCCTCCAGGATGCTCCAGGATCCAGAGACTGGACCGAGGTAAATTGTCTGTGTGCTGCAGGGTAGAGAGACTTCTGGTTTCTGGTTCAGCGTGTAAGGAACATCGAAGTTGTCGTTTCATCCTAACAACAAGTAAAAAGCTGAACAAACGGAGAAATCAGTGACTCTTCTTAGATCCATCCTTCAGAGAAGAGAGTCACAGGGCAATCCGCTGCCCCCCCAAATTGGGGGGACAAACAGGTGAGTACAGAGAATCGCAACTTACTAGAGCAGAAACCTACAGCCAGAAACCTCAGTAGGGAGACCTGACCTGTAGTTGACGAATTGCTGGAGACTCAATGTGAACAAGTCTGAGAGACAAAAAACCTCAGGGAGCCCCAGTCAACAGGTAGCCCCTACATTTTTGCGAGTTTTACCTCCAAGAACTGGACCAGGTGCTCACAGCGAGGATCAGAAAAAAATTCCCTGGGCTTCCAGCAGGAGGAGGAGAAAATAATCATTTTGAAATGCATCAGAGCATTTTATTCTTTTAAATAAAGCCCAACCTCAGGAGAAACTATATTCCCAGAGCCTAATTTGCCAGGTTTTACCAGAGCCTAACCTACCTGGGGGAAAGAAAATGTCCCAACTCCAGCTATGTCATCTTGTTCCAACTAAGAACAAGACAGTGACAAACTAAACTAAGAGGGTGGAAAAGAAAACCTGAAAGGCTCACAGTCCAGGGCATGGGCTCATAAATTCAGACTCTAGGATGCCTCTCTGGCATATCACTAAAGACCTGTTACTGCCATTCCTTTTACCTGGTATGTCATGTCTGCCTTTTTTCTTTTTCTGAGTTGGAGTCTTTACTCTGTCACCTAGACCGGAGTGCAGTGGCACACTCACAGGCCCTGTAGCCTCGACCTTCAGGGCTCAGGCGATCCTTCCAAGTAGCTGGAACTATAGGCACAAGCCACCACACCTGGCTAATTTTTTTTATTTATTATAGAGGTGACGTCTTGCCAAGTTACCCAGGCTGATCTCGAACCCATGGGCTCAGGCAATCCTTTCACCTCGGCTTCCCAAAGTGCTGGGATTATAGGTGTGAGCCACCGCACACAGCCCAATTTTTTTTTTTTTAAGTTGGAGTCTCACTCTGTTGCCCAGGCTGGAGTGCAGTGGCACACTCACGGCCACTGCAGCCTCGACCTGCTGGGCTCAGGTGATCCTTCCACCTCAGCCTTCTAAGTAGCTGGAACTACAGGCACACGCCACCATGCCCAGCTAATTTTTTGATTCATTGTAGAGATGATGTCTCACTAAGTTGCCAAGGCTAGTCTTGAACCCGTGGGCTCAGGCAATCCTCTCACCTCTGCCTCCCAAAGCGCTGGGATTAAAGGCGTGAGCCACGGCACCGGGCCTATATCTGCCTTTTAACAATAAATTACAAGGCACAAAGGGCAAAACGCAGTTTGAAGAGACAGCAAGCATCAGAACCAGACTCAGTTATGCCAGGGATATTGGAATGATCAGGCCAGGAGCGAAAAAACAGAACTATAACTAATATGCTAAGAACTCTAGTGCAGCCCAGCAGGGACCTGCTCCGGCTCCCTACCGGGCTCACAGCATCCTAACTACATGGCGTGCTCAGTTTGTTAGCGTCTTCTTAGGGCAGGGGTGCTCATACCATGTTCCATCAGGACCAGCAGGCTTTCCGGAGCAAGTGGGTGGCAGACGGGTGCTTCAAGCCAGGGGTGTTTGTCTCCAAGACCCGTATGTTTTCTCGAACTCCAATCAGGCCCCTTGCCCCACCCCCACTGCAGAGGTCTCCTTGGACGCCTGGCTGACTGCACCATGTAGCCTAGAACCTGAGCCGCTGGGAGATATCAGTTACCCACCACACCTTGATACACTTGGAGGTGGTGGATGCAGGAGTGATTCATTGTATCCTCCAGTGCAGAAGCCGTTTCAGAAATCAGAGGCAAGTATTACTTCCTGGTGCTGGGAGTATAGATTATTTTTATTTCTCCTTTATAATTTCTAGGATTTTTCCAAAACACCTATCATTTTATAATCTCTCCTACTTTATTTTAAAAAAGAAGAAAATTGGAGGGCAGAGAAATGCCCAGTTCTGTCCTGAGATTCATCAAGCAAGGCCAACCAGTATTTGTCACACCGGGCAGGGGCCCCACGCTGGAAGTCCTGAGGGTTATCAGTTCCAATCCTGGCACTCAAGGCCGCTTGGGCAGTCTCACCCGCCACCTCCTCACTTTTGCTCCCACCAGGTCCTGCTCCTGAAATGTCTCTCTCCCATTACCTCCACCAAACCACACTCATTTTTCAGGGCCCAACCCCAATTCTGCCAATGTGTGGCGGTGTTTTAAAGACCTTCCCCTACTGGGACAACCTTTCATCTCCCTCCTCTGATCACGGGTGGCACTTTACTTGGTCCTGCTTTTATAAACTTTATCATTTCCTGTCCTATCCTGGAGTCTGCAGCCTCCTTGTAAGTGGGGCTTGCATATTAGTTACCTCCTTGTGGGTGGAGCCTACATATTAGTTACCTCCTTGTGGGCGGGGCCTGCATATTAGTTACCTTTATAGTTCCAGTGCATCCTCAGCCTGCTATGTGCTAGCCTTCAAGTGAATGTCTGTTGAACTTACGTGAATTGAAACAACAGTGTCCTAAGAGGGGGTGTGATAGATCTGTTTATGTCAGGGCTCATCAAACTCAGCCCCATTGACATTTGGAGTCAGATAACTGTATGAGGTGGGGAACTACAGTGTTTCACTGTGTAGCCAGCCTCCACCTGGGAACAGGTAGACAATGCATCTAGGTCTCCTGTTCCAGGTCCAGTGCTCACCCCACTCTCCCAAGACCCCAGCAAGATCTTTGCTTCTCCACTTTGGTGTGTCCACTTTCCCCCACCTTCATATCCTGGGTTCTACCCTGTCCCCCTCCCTTCTGCCCACCCCCATGACCTGTGCCAGGCTGTGACCCACTGGTTGACCCTACTAGTCCTTGCAGACTAGACCTCAGGCTGTGGCTGGACACACGCTGTCACATCTTCTTCAGCTCCTCGGGCTCATCTCCATGCTTGAACACACTGATGGTGACCTGGCCTGTCTCGGAGCCATACTTGTTCTTGACAAAGACGCCATAGCGCCCGCTGTCCTCGCTGTTGACCTTCTCGATGGTGATGGTGACCTCCGTCCCCCTCACTTCCATATGGTAGCGGTCAAGGAAGGTGACGGGCTGGTCATTCTTCAGCCAAAAGATTTCAGGGGTGGGGTCTCCTGAGATAACGCAGGTCAGGCACAGGGTCTGTTTCAACCGACAGGAAGAGAACAGTTTCACTTCCTTATAACTTGAACTTGGCGTTCACCTTCATGCTCCCAGAGAGCTCCCATTACAGTTTGCGCCTTATGATAAATTTATTATGTGTGTTTTATTATAACCCATAAAGGAGAGAGACATTTTCTTTTCACCCTGCATCCTTCATCCTCAACCTTTCCACAGAAATACTTTCTAGTTAGAATTTCAGACCATTATTACTCTAGCAATTATTTGTCCCTGATGTAGCCTGCATTTTGCTTTATGGCTTTTTGCCATATATGTGTCATTATGATTTTACCATGCAAGTAAGAGATTATATTGCTTCAGTACAAAGATGAATGAGTTGAGTTTGGAAATTTTGAACAAGATCTAACGCAGAGCATGATAGCATAATGATTAAACACACAGGTTCTGGAGTTGGGTTTCCTGGGTGTGAATCTCAGCTCTGTCGTTTTAAGCTGTGTGACCTTAAGCAAGTCCCTTGACCACTCTGGGCCTTAGTTTTCTCAGCTATCACGTGAGTCTAGTAATAATACCCTATTTCATGGGGTTGCCTTGGTGGCTAAATAAGCTAAAATAGGTGATACGTATGGAAGAGAGCCTGGCACAAAGGAGGCACCATGAACATGTTGGCTGTCATTTGTGAGAACACTAGGCTTGCAGAATTGCAGCCCTAGAAGGGCTTTTAGGTATCATTCAGTAGAATCCTGCGGAAGCTGAAGTCCATGACATCCAGGGCTGTCTAGAGAGATGTGCTACCAAGGAAAGCCACTGAACCTGGTGTCACCCGAGCCAGCACTTGGCAATCAGTGAGGCAGGATCACTTAGCCAGACTGTGGCAGATTGAAGCCCTTTGGCCAACCAGCCACGCTGGCTCTTGAACCCACAGGGCCACATTGTTCCGTGAGCTAATAGATACATGAGGGAACACTGACCCAGGACTGCAGGCTGTGGGCTGGGAAGGCTCAGTACCTGCACTTGATCTTAGCCAAAAGGTCAAAAGCAATGGGGCTCAGTACCTTATCCTCCATGATTGTGGCCACGTCTGGCAGGCCCCGCACCACTTTGGCACGATCTGGAAGGGAAACAAGAGACCCCAGCAGTGAATGTTTTCCTGGCAGCTGCTACCGTAAGCAAGTTTCTGAAGAATTGAGACTTATTTTTAAGCAAGGCTTCATTTTTCTATTTTCATCATTTTGGATGGAAATCTTAAGAATTGTATTAATTACATGCTTCCTTGCCTTCATAAGTAGAAGACATGGGACATAATGTGTTTCTGCTGCTGACTTGAGGGCTTTGCTACGATTAGTGGTAGCTGGAGGTGACCTCAAGAACAGATCTGGGAAAGCAGGTAAATGAGATGTTCTGAGCCTTAAACTGGCAAAATCCACACACCAGGTGTGACCAGCCAGCCACGGGGGTGAACCGAGAGGGCATCAGGAAAAGTGGAATCGAAGCTTTTGGGACACTTGACGAGGGACCGGGCGAGGGACCAGGTGAGGGACCTGGTGGCCATTGGGGATGGGTAGGGTGGAAGTGCGGTTGTAAATCACTAAGCAGAAGACAATCTATTCTTGATGCTGCCGTGTAGACTGTGGGCATAGGAGGGATGGTCAGCACAGCCGAGGCCATGGAAGTGCAGGGCCCAACACAGATGGCGCCTGTCCAGTGGCTGGAAGGGAGCAGGACCCTGAACTGGACAGGGAAGGCCCCGCAGGTGGATGCAGTTGTGGGCAGGAATTTTCCCAGGCCCTCCATCATCACTTCCCTCAATGCTCATTTCATAAGTCCCAGTGACCATGCATTGGTGAATTCAGCCTCCCTCTGTGAGGGTCATAGAGGGGTTGGAGGGGATGTTCTTACTGGGCAAATGATTAACTGGTGGTATGAGCAGTCTGCGCAGACTGAGGCTGGTCTTGGGTTGTGCTCTCTCTGCCAAGGAGAACCTCCCGCAAGGGCTCCTCACTGCACTTAGACCTCCCAGTGGTCCCTTCCAGATCACAGTTATAAACTCTATGCCTGCATGTTCTGTCATGTGGGGACACTCGGGGACAAGGTGCCAAGCAGGGCACAGGACCTCCTCCCACAAAGGGCCCCAGGTTGGGTGTGTTAGCACTCCTTTCCCGTCCTCAGAGCCCTCTAGTCTCTACCTGCAGCCAGGTGGGCAGGGGTTGCTGTGCTTTGCCACTGGGTCTTTCCCTCACTGAAATCCCTGCTTCTCACCTGCTGGGTCAGTGAGACCCGAAAGCCAGACACCTACCAGTGGGCCCCTTAGAACTGCCAGGGGACCTGCTGGGTGGGAGGCCACAGGCTTGAGCTGGCAGACATAGTGGCGGCTCCTCAGGCAGCCTGGAGGCCATGCCATGTCCCTCTGGGTTTGGGGTTTTGTCTTGGATTTGATGAGGTCCCGATGCCCTGACAGCCTCGACTTTAGCTTTGATGTCGCCTCCTCCCCACAGCTCATACAGGAAGGCCTGCCCCCCCCATTTCTCTCTGGCCCCTGCCTTTTGGGTTCCACTCGTGTTGCCCATGCTCCTGTCCTGGGCGCATCCATACCCACGATCCCTTGGACTCCTTATCTGCCCCACCCAGCTCTCCCAGCAGCTCCACGAGAGCCTAGAACCCCACAAACCCCACTAGGATACTGGGCCTTCCACAGCCTGCCAGGAGGGAGGCTTGAGCTCCTGGGAAGTCCTCCCCAAACGCAGAAGCGAAAACAACAGAGATGCCGGCAGACTCACTCTTCTCGATGATGGCCAAGGCCCTGAAAAACAGAAGTGGAAGATGGTGTGATGTTCCATCTATGAAAGGAGAGCCCCATCCAAGAGGGGGTGAGGGAGTGGTAAGGGAAAGGTGAGGCCAGCCGGGACTCCCAGGAAGGGTCCTGAGCACAGTCCAGGTCATACTCCGAGGGACCTGGGAGTCACAATGAGAAACATAGAGGAAACTTACTTCAGTCTCTGGTGTTCAGCCAAGGCATTGTCAAACGCTGCAGGAAGGACAAAGGGGGAAAGGGCACATCAGGGCCACTGTCGTGTGACCCCAGGGGCAGGGTGACCCCCAGGGGCAAGGCTTAGCCTGAGTCCTCCACTCTCCTCACCATTCCAGTGCTTTCCTGGGGCAGTGTCAGGACTGGGTGGGGAGAGGGAGTCCTCCCAAGAGACCATTGGATTGTTTTTTCTTTTCTTTTTTTTTTTTTAGTTGGAGTCTCACTCTGTCGCCCAGACTGGAGTGCAGTGGCCGCTCCCGGCCACCGCAGCCTCGACCTGCTGGGCTCCGGCGATCCTTCCGCCTCAGCCTTCCAAGTAGCCGGAATTACAGGCATGCGCTACCACGCCCAGCTGATTTTTTTGATTTATTGTAGAGATGAGGTCTCGCTGCCCAGGCGGGTCTCGAACCCGCGGGCTCAGGCAATCCATTCACCTCAGCCTCCCAAAGGCGCGGGATTACAGGCTGAGCCACCGAGCCCGGCTGGATTGTTTTTTCTTTTCTTTTTTGAGTCAGAATCTCACTCTGACTCAGGCTGGAGTGTAGTGGCATGATCATGGATCTCTGCTGCCTCCAACTCAAGCGATCCTCCTGTGTCAGCCTCCCGAGTAGCTGGGACTACGGGTATGTGCCAGCACACCTGGTCAATTTTTAATTTTTTTTGTAGATACAGGGTCTCACTAGGTTGCTCAGGCTGAAGGATCACGGGATTTTCTAAACACACAGATGCGTAGCTTACCTTGACCTGAGAGATCTGCTGAGAGCTGTCGAACTTCCTTCCCGGCAGCTATTTCCAGCATGTATTTGCCCTTGTCTGAGTCTTTGGGGTCTGTGATATGTAGCCAGATCTCATCCAGGGTGGTGCCTGCCCTTATCCGATCGCCACTTTCCAGGCGTTTGTCCCTGAATTGGAGGGCAGAGAGATGGTTAAGCCTGTCTATCTGCAGGTCAACAAATTCCCCTGCCCCCAAATCCTCCCCTGGGGTTTTGTTTCCAGGTCTGTGGGCGGAGGACGGCGGCCACTCCTGAGACGTTCAATACGCATCTGTTCACTTATCCATCTTCATTCAGCGATTCATTCGTCATTCAAACCTTCATTTATGCAGTCATCAAATCTTGTGGTACAACAACTGGATGCCAGTGCTGAGTCTTCATTTATGATATGTCCTGTAAGCTGGGGAGCCCCAAGGGTATGGTGCTCCGGGGTCAGCGACTGCTACTTCCCCCACCCTCAGGAGCCACTTACTCACCTCTTCATCCTCCCCCTCTTAAGCCTTCCTGTGTTTCCTCCCATGATCATTCTCCGCCAACCTTCAGAAACCACCTCAGTTAAACTCCCTTGTTTGCTTAAATTTCATTTCTGGAGATATGGGCTCGGCTCGTGTCCCCAGTGTGGTGTTGTAGAGGTGACACCTCTGTGCTTAGTCACAGGACCCATGGTCCTGAGATTCCATCTGGCCTTGGCTCTCACTCGATGCACTTGACCAAGATAGTCTAACCTTCTTCACAGAATGGGTGTAGTAATGTCTGCCCGGCTGCCCACGAGACTGAGGCATGCGCATAATACAATGTACTGGAAAATTCTACTCTCCTAAGACCTGGGGTCACTTAGCTCCTGACTCAGGCTCTATGGGTACCTTGTCTTTCCTGCCTCCAAGCCCTAGTTGCCAGCTAGTTCTCAGCCTTGCAGGTCCCTCTGCCTGAGATTGCAAAGGCTACAGAGGCCCACAAGGGCATCATGACTGTCTGGTTCTTTCTCGTTCCTGCATCTCTCGCTCTCCTGGTTCCCAGATGCTACTCTGAGATGATCCTACTATGGCCACAGAGATTCTGGAAAAATGGACCTTCCACCAAAGTTTGCACTTTCCCTGGGGGATCTTAGCACAGCCATTCTGCTCCTCTGCCTGCTGATCCTTATTCCCAACTCCTTCTGTGGACAGTAAGACTGGCCAGAGACCCTCATCTCTGCCAACACCCGAGGATTGGGCTCTGCTGGGAAGACTGGGCAGGGGAAGGAAGGGAAGCCCTGTGGGCCTGGCCGACCTACTTGTGGAACCAGGTGGTTTTCATGTACTCCACGTTGTAATACTTGACCTTGCTGAAGAGCCGGATCCCTTCCTCAGTCCCCTGGATTTTCAGTGGGGTCGCAGAGAGGGCTGGGGAAACAGAGGAGGAGAGTGTCTTCCCCAAGGCCATTTGGGCAGCACATTTTGGGCCAGCCTACTCACCCCTGCTCTGGGGCTCTGGGAATGCAGGGCTGGAGTTTCCAGTCTTTGAGGTTGGAAACGAAACCCACCCTGGCAGCCAAGGCCATTGGGAGGCCTCTTGGAAGCTATTTGGCATTGGGGCAGCGCTGGGCAAAGGGGTGGACTTGCTTACCACCAATCCTGCCCAGCTCGGTGAAGATCTCATCCAGGGCTGGAGGGAGACAGAGAAAATGGTCAGCTGGTGCAGGGTTTCCCAACGGATGTCCCGGAAAAAGGCTGGGGAGCCCATGAGCAGCTCTGGGGACACAGGGAGCTCTGCAGGTCTACTCCCATGGCTGGGGGAGGAGGAGGATTAGGGGCACTCAGGGATGGGTGGGGTGGGGGGGGGCACCATGGAGGGAGGACGAACAGGCCAACCTGACAGTTTCCTTGCAGGCTGAGCCAACCAGCCTGATGAGGAGGCTGAGCCTACTATGGGGCAGAGGAGTGAACTCAGGCCTTGCGTTTCCAGGCTTGGACTCACTGTGGTATATCGCAGTGAACACGGGCGTCAGAGTCACATAGACTAGGCCCCTGACACAGACTAGCTGTGCCACCTTGGGTAAGTCACTTTACCTCTCTGTGCCTCAATTGTCCCAGGTGATATGGGGATTGCATAAACCTTACCCAGAAGGTCACATCACGCCTCTGTTGCAGTATGATCCCCCACAGCCCTCCTGGCCCATCTCCACCTTCACTGGTTCCTACCTTCACCTGTGAGGTCCAGAATGGTGTCATCCTCCCCTCGGTCATCAGAGACCTCTGCTCTGTAAATTCCTTTGTCCTCTTTGGACAACTGGAAAGAAGGATGGGAGATGGCAGTGTCAGCCTGGGGTTCCAGAAGACAATCAGGAGGCCTGCCCCTAACTCTCAGGCAAGACCCTTCTCCTCCCTGGGCCTCCGTTTACTCATCTGGGCTGTGTGATCTTTCAACTCTAGAGGGCTTTGATTCCTAGCTCAGGGCTTGTCTACATCTGAGGAAGGGGTGGGGTGGAGGAGCTGAGGGCAGAAACAGACACTCCCCATTTAGACTCACAGGCAGCTGCTCTGAGCACGACCCAACTTGTCAGCTCCTGGGTGGAGGGAACCCCTGCACTTCCTCAGAAGGGAGTGTGTGTTTTCTCTTGCCCAGGCCAGGCGCCATGGCTCACGCCTGTAATCCCAGCACTTTGTGCAAGATCCAGAGATCAGAAGTGACCGCTTAGGACACGCGGCTCCTCCCTCAGGGCCTGGGCGTAATACGTGCCTTCCCAGTCCCTCACCTCTAAATACTTTCCACCAGGACTATCTCCTCACAGTGGATTTGGGGTAGGATCCAAGGCAGAAGCAGCTCAACTTGGGGATCGAGGGGCCGAACCCCCACAGGCCTTTCCTATGCTCTGCCCCTCCCCCCAACACAATGAAGGCTTCAAGGTCTCAGCCAAACCTGGGTTGGGTGATTGGAGTGGCTTCTGACCCACTCTCTAGCCTTGTGTCTTTGTACTTAAACCCTCTGAGACTCAGTTTACTCATCTGTAAAACAGTGACATCATCCTTGCCCCATCTACGTGCTACCAAGGGAGGTAAGTCTTTGGAAGCCAGAAAGTTTGCACCAACCAGACGAATAGTTATAATAAAACTCCATCACCGTTAAGCACATCCTTGGTGCCACACCCTGCTGGGAGAGCTTGCATAGTGGAGACAAAAGACTGGTTTGGCATTGCCCTGCCGGGATTTGGGAGAAGACCCTGAAACACTATATCCTTTCTCTGCTGTGTTTGCTCTGGTCCTCCCTGGCACCCAGTGAGGCCATGGAAGTCAGCAGCAAGGAAAAAAAAATGTCGACTGTTTAAGAATAAGCCTGGTGTTTCTCTCTCAATCAGGACACACTCCTCTGCGGGTCCCAGGGGAGGATGGGGTGGGAGAATTGAGCTCCAAGCCTGTGTTTTCCTGCCCAGGCCTGCCTCTCCCAGAGACATCTTGCCTGTCCTGAATCCTAGACTGTGGGGCAGGAGGGAAGCATCGAGAGAGCCTTCCTTCTGACCTGCTCATGCTACAGATGAAAGCTGAGGTCAGAGAGGGACAGTGACTAGCCCAGACCTGCCTAGTCATTGGCAGGGCCAGGTCTGGAGCCCAAGCAAAAGGGAAAATCAGTAATACTGGTCCTCTTGTTATTGAAAAATTCGTTATTTTTTCCTCATGGTCTTTTTTTGGGGGGATTAATTTTGATTTTTTTAGAGTGTGGCATGAAATATTATTTATCTTGATGATGGAGTTTTGTGGAGCTCCTTACATTTTGTACTCGGGACGAGTGCTTCACTTACCTCACCCTAGTCTCTACCCTGCTCTTGACTCCCAGCACAGTGCTCTTGGCCTTGCCAGCTTGCAGCTGACAGGGAGGGTGAACCCTGCGGCCAGAGCTGCGCTTACCTCTTCGATGCAGAGAAGCCCTGCTCCGGTTTGTGGGTCATACTGACCGTCTGGCATCTCTCTCTTTCGGAAGAACCACTGGAAGCGAGTCTCCTTCTTGGTGTTGGTCACCTAGGAAGGTAGGGAGTGGAGACTCATCAGGCTTCCTTTCTTTTTACGTAAAAACATCCACGTATACATGCTTTCAGGTGTCTCAGTCGACTCCTTCTCCCCCCACCCCATGTCTCTGCACGCTAAACTTTTGCTAGTGGCATTCCCTCTGCTCTTGATCCCTGTCCTACTTTATTGTCCTTGTAGATGCCTATACTTCTTGAGAACTCACTTAGATGTTACCTCCTTCAGGAAGTCTTCCTTGAAGCACCCAAGAGTACTCCACCATTTGCTGCACGTATGTGGATCAAGCATGAGGCAAGCTGTTTTCCAGCGAGCCTGCCTTGGATCATGGGCTCCCAGAGGTCCACAGAGATCACTTTCTCATCTTTGCATGCCTGGGAACTTGCAGGGTGTCTATGCCTCCTAAATGCTTTGAGTTGACTGGGCGAATAAGCGTCTATGGGAGCACCCACCACACTCTCCCCTCCCCTAGTTCTCTAGGGCTGGTGGGTGCTGAGGAGGTCTTGGACTTTGGAGTCAGCGAGACTTGGTTAAAGCCTGGGCTCTCCCTCCCACCATGTGGCCTTGAGCTTCTTCCCCGCCCATTTCCTCACCTATGAGGTGCAGATAAGAGCGCCTACCTCATAGATGATCACGGGGCAGGTGAAATAAAACAATGCAGAGTGTCTGAAAAGGTTACTAATAAACACAGGGACACCCCCTCAGCATGTAGATCCTTGTTGGCTCCCAGACCCCTGGCCCCAAAGAACCCCTTCCAGAGCCCCTGGGATCTAGCTCAAGGTTGGTGCTCTTCTCGCTAATTCTGTTCCCTGGGCTCTGGGAGGGTGGGCTTGTTTTTCCGGGTTAAATATGATCTCCCCAGGGCCACTTCCAACGTGTGGAATCAGCCAAGCACAGGGAATGGAGTTTGGGGGCTGAGGATGGTGGGGACAGCACTGTGCTCGGTGACAAGCCACAGGTCCCATCCCATGGGCCTGGGGCAGGGCTGGAGGCGGGACTTGCCTTGCACGTGAGCTGTACTTGGCAGTCCTCGGTGACCTTCCACTGCAAGGGCTGCTCGAAATAGGGGCCTGTATGTGCGAAAAACAGACACTCCCATGGTCAGAGCGCCAGGCTCAGCTGGGGCGTCACCTGCTGGGCAGACAGGGGAAGTCAGCCGGGGAAGAGGCAGCTAGTGGCCACAGGCCCTCAGATCCTGCCTCCACCAGGGCGGGGACTACGGTGAGGCAAGGGAGAGGCTTAGGGTGCAAACTCTAAGGAAGGTCTCACTCTCAGGGTCGGGCAAGTGCCGCTTGTCCTGGCAATGGGATAGAACTGGGCTGAAATATAGTGGCCCTCCCTCCGGGACCAAGCAGAGCAGGGGTCCTATGAACCCCCAGTCCAGCATCTCCAGCACTGACCGATGGCCAAGGCTTTTGAATTTCTTCCCAGCAGCGCTTACCCTGTTTTCTCTTCCAGTCTCTTCTCTTAGCATCTGCCTTCCTCAGAAGTTTGTCAAAATCTGTAAACATACAGGGAGGGACTGGCATAAGCTGAGAGAAACGCAGGTCCAGAGGGGGCATTGGGATGGACGGACAGATGTGTGCTCAGCGGGCCCCAGAGCTGAAAACCTGGAGCCGCAGGGGAGCCGCATGTGAAGGGGCAGGGTGGGACTGACCGTCATCCACCAGCGTCAAGGTGATCTGATTTTTGGCTTTTCCATCTTGGAGCTGAGCGGTGTATGACCCCTTGTCATCCTCAGACAAGGTCTGGATGATCACCTCCACCAGGCCCTTCTCCCGGTCAAAGTTGATTTTGCGTTTCTGAAGAGAACAACCCCCCCAGAGTCCTTTTTGCACTCTCCCTGTTCTGGGAATTTTATTGTAGGGCACAATATCAGGGGATACTTGAACTCGAGGGTGAGGTAGATGCAGAGTTATCAGCCTTCAGAGACCGGAGAGGGGCCTTGGGTAACCCTCTGCAGCTATAGAGGCTAGGGTTTTCCCTACCCCCAGTCCCTGGGAACACCCCTTGGATGCTTGAATCCGTTACGATTTAATAATAAGCCCCCAACCCCTACTGTGTCACATTTTGTTACTTTCTACTTTTATAATTTAATAGAATAACTTCATAAACCTTGTAAAGGATAATATAAAAAATCCTGTGTACTTGCTACCCCAAATTAACACTCATTTACATTTTACCACTTTCTAACAGTTTTTAAAGTTTTATTTTCCACATTTAGGCCCTTACTCCCGCTGGCTTTATTTATATGTATGCTTTGAGAAAATGATCTAATGTTTTGTTATTTTTCTGTAGGGACAACTGTTTGTCCCACTGCTGTGCACTAAAGAGTTCAGACTTTGTAACACTTTTTACACCGTGTGGCAAGGTCACTGCATAATCCTTATGCAGAACTTTCCAATCTATTTTCTCCTTTGCACCTCTTGATCCTGGGACAACCAGGCCTATTGTACAGTTGTAGAAATTGGGGTACAGATAGGTGAAGAGAACTGCCCAAAGTTGTAAACCCACAGGGAGTAGACAAGAATCTTCTGTGAGAGCGAGCACTTCCCTTTCTGGAACTATTTTCTTTCTTTTCTCTCTCTCACTCTCTCCCCCTCTCCCCTTTCTTTTTGTTATAGGACTTTTGGTATACACAATATGTATTTTCTAATGGCTGCCTTGCTACTTGGAGATAAAGTTCACAAATAATATGAGATTGAATCACAAATTTGACTCTTCTATGAGATTGAAATTGCCCTGTTTGCGGTAAAAATGGTTGAATATTGACAAATAGATGGTTCAGTCCAATACAACCTGTTTACACATATGATTAAAAACAAGGTAATATTCTAACTGTAATATAAAGAAGAAATAAAAGTCATTAAAATAAAATAATATGTATTTCTTTATGTAGATACTTGGATCTAAGCTCACTCATGCTCTACTGATGTATAATGAATTGGTTTGGATTTAGGAGAAGAGAACATCAGGAGTTATCCTGTATAAAAATGGAGATGAATGTAGGCAAAATTAAAATCCTCCATTCTGTGTATATTTAAATTGTACAAAAAACCTTTGCACGTACATCTCAAATAAAGTTAGGGTCTAGGCTTGGATAATTATAAGCATGGATTTAGGTTTTTCATCTTAAGAATGTCTGGTGGAGCTGGGCTCAGTGGCTCAGCCTGTAATCCCAGCACTTTGGGAGGCCGAGGCAAGTAGATTGCCTGAGCCCACGGGTTCGAGACCAGCTCGGGCAACTTGGCGAGACCTCCTCTCTACAATAAATCAAAAATTAGCAAGGCATGGTAGCGTGCACCTGTAGTTCCAGCTACTTGGAAGGTTGAGGTGAAAGGATCACCGGAGCCCAGCAGGTCAGGCTGTGGGGGCCATGAGTGTGCCACTACTGCACTCCAGCCTGGGTAACAGAGTGGGACTCCAGCTCAAAAAAAAAAAAAAGACTGTCTGGTGGGGTAATCGAAAGCTGTGGAGGCTGTGGGAAAGAGTGTGCGGGAGTGTCCCTTGTACTGGCTGGCATATGGTATCCCTGCCTCCTCCCTTTCTCCCTGTACTAAAAGCCAAATGTCCCTGTCCCTGCCCCATGATTGCATCGCCAAAGCACATAGCCATTTCTGAAATGCCCACTAGGGGGAGGTACCAGCCCGAGCAGAACCTCTGGGCCGGGGAGCTTGGCTTAGGGACTGTGAGTGCCCGGTTACCGGTGAGCTGAAGATCTCCTTTTGGTTGAAGATGAGGTGCAGTTCCGCGGCTGGAGACAACTTTTCCACTTCCAGCCAAAGTCGCACCTCTCCTTGCTCCAGGATGTCAATGTTCCAGCCAGAGATCAGTTTAATCACTGGGTGGCACAGAACGGGAAGAGGTCGGTGGGGTACCTGATGAGTGGGGCATTCATCTCCCTTCCCACGCCGGGTCAGCCCCACCTGGAGCACACACGCTTGGAGAGTCTGAAGGAGACGCCACCAGGATGGGGGTCTGAGGAGGGTTTTTTGCATGCTCATTCTAGATTTAGCTAATCTCAGCGAAGCATTTCCTCTCCCGAGAGCTCAGGGCCGAGCTTCGCATCCTGGCTGGGCACAGGATACTTGAGGACTTTGGAAAACACTAGTGTCCGGGCTCCACCCTCAGAGATTCTGATTTGTCCAGGGCATGGCCCGGGCATCGGGATTTTGAAAAGCTGTTGGGGTGATTCCAGTGTGCAGACTAATGTGTGATCCAGGGACTACTGCACATGGAGGGAAGTAGAGGTTTAGGTGATCCCAAACCCAAAGAACGAAGGGCCAGTCATGACAATGACAATAAGAAGAAAATGTCCACATTCCCCTCCCTCCCTTGCAGCCTGGTTGCCCCCTGCTGGCCGCTCTTTTCTTTCATGAACTCCTGGTGTCCAACCTCCCACCCTCTGCCCACCCCACCCCCACCGTTCTACTTAGGACACGCTGTTGGGTCCAGTGGGAGCTGCACCAGGTGGGTGTGTGGACCGCTTACCTGGGTTTCTAATCTCGTGACTCAACTTCTTTAGCTTCTCCAGCTCTGGGTCAGGCAGCAACAAGGAATAAACCAGAGAGAGTGAGATATCCAGGCCAGGGAGTCCATGGGAGCCATGCTAGGGTCTCAGGCTGGGAGAGATACCCTTACCTCCCATGTGGAGTTCCTCAGCTCCCTAGGGTTGATGATGAACACTGTGGGTCTTTGCCCAGGGGCGCCAAGGGAGAGGCTGGAGGCCGCGGCTGGGCACCCTGAAGTTGTATTTTCCCCCTGTCCTTCAAGGCCTAGATCAAGTTCCACCTCCCCAGAGGAGCACCTACTATACTCTGGCTCTGCACTATCTTATTGGTCCTTTCACTGCCTGTGGGGTGAGTATCACCTCCACCTGCAGGCCACTCCAGGCCCACTGGGGCCAGAGTCCATGGCTAGTTCACTGTATGTGCTGTCCTAGTGTCTGAGGGTCTGGGCCACACACTGAGCCCTGTAGTCCAGAAGTTTCTAGGGCTGTTCTGTGGAGTGCTTTCTCATCTGCTGACTGCTTCTTTGTGCTAGGTTTGAGTTTCTTGCAAAGGTGAGCTCTGAGCCTATGGGAGTGTCTGGCATACAGTAAGTGTTCAATAAATATGATTGTGTGAGTGAATTGGCAAGGGCAGAGCATATGCCTCATTTTCCCTTGTAAGCCACAGAGTCCTTCACATGATGAATCTGGATTCGTGGCAAGCACATAATCAAAAAAACAAAACCGCCGGGCTTGGTGGCTCAGCCTGTAATCCCGCACCTTGGGAGGCTGAGGTGAGTGGATTGCCTGAGCCCGCGGGTTCGAGACCCGCCTGGGCAACTTGGCGAGACTTCATCTCTACAATAAATCAAAAAAACAGCCGGGCGTGGTAGCGCGCGCCTGTAGTTCCAGCTACCTGGAAGGCTGAGGTGGAAGGATCGCCGGAGCCCAGCAGGTCGAGGCTGCGGTGGCCGGGAGCGGCCATTGCACTCCAGTCTGGGTGACAGAGTGAGACTCCAACACAAAACAAAACAAAACAAAACCCCCATCATTTCTGTGGACAGCTTTAGTTTGCATGGCGTCATCTAGTTGTGTGGGCATCACAACATTGTTCCAATTGGGGCAGCCAGGGAGGGATTATAATCTTCCTTTACAGATGAGAAAACTGAGGCCTGGGGAGCCAACATGACTTGTCCAAAGTCAAATGACCAGGAAATTACGACACTAGAATTAGAATCTGAGTCTCTCCGGCTTCTGCTTCTCAACAAAATCTAAAGGCCTCATGTGCAACGAGCAGGAAAGACAATGGGCAGGGGCTGTCCCAGTTGTTATGAAGACAGCAGGAAGTGAGTCTCTCTAGTCATGAGCACAGGTTTAATTTATCTAGCATGGATGGTCATTTAGGCATGATATCCCCTCTGATGAGCCATAGTCCCCACTGCTCCCTATTGTTCCCTTCATTTCTTAGACCAACTGTTAATCGCAATTTATCATCACATTTGCTCTGCTATTGTTCTTAGGCTATAGAAGGAAGCAAAAATAATTCTAGTGTCTTTGTCTAGGACAATTAAAGAAAGACAAGAAGAACGTGAATTCCACCAGGGCTTAGAACAGTAATTCCCAGGGCTTAGGACAGTACCTGGTATATGGTAGGTCCAATAGATACTGACTGACTGACTGAATGTGTGGGTGGAGGCCTACTTTTCTGTGGAAATTACTGCTTTATTTATTTGTGTTGTGTTTTGCTAGCCCCTGTGGGCATTTGAGACTCTTGATCTGAGTCTGTCTCTCTGGGGAGGTGCCAGGCAGGGGGACAGGGTCATTACCTTCCTCAGTCAGTGTGTGGCTTGCTGAGATGTCTTCATCAGCATCTGTGACAACCACTGAGTAGGTGCCTAAATCCTCAAGGCCAGGTTCTTTCAGGATGACCTTAGACCTGGCAGACAGAGGAGAGTGGAGGCCCTGAGAGGGGATCCTCGGCCTTGTGCACTGGAGGTCTGGGAACTGGGGAGTCTCAGTGGCCTCTGGTGGCCCCGTGCCCCATTTTAGACTTAGGCCAAGCCTACTTGGCATCTCCTCTGGCCTGGCACTTTCAATGGTCCCCCTAGTCAAACTTTCTGGCACAAAGTTCGCTTACTGGTCACATTGCCCTATTTTCCTCCAGGGCTGGGGTGTCAGCGTCATCCCCTGCTGGACAAAGTCAAGGCCATGGGCTGCTGGCGGAGGAGGGGTGACGTGGGGGCGTTTGATAGGGGCCCTGGCCAACGCTTCGTTTTATAGATGAAGAAGCTGAGGTCAGAGAACTGGCAAGAGCAAGTCAGGGGCACCCCGGGGTGGGGGTGTCTCCTCGAAGGCAATGACTCAGGCTCGCACACTCTCACAGAAACAGAGCTCCAAAGGAAGGGCGCCATCCTCCTCCCCTCACTGCAACCTCCACACCTCTCCCGAAGGTGGCGGTCAGCATGCTCAGAGGAGACCCAGTAGCGCCTCTCAGCCATCATCCGCGTGTCCCGCCCTGCGGTCTCGCCCATGAGCGCGGCCAGCTCTTCAGATGGCATTTAGGTCCCATCCAGTGAGTTATTTCTCCTCCTCTCCCCTCACTCACTTGTTAACTTTATCCTCAATCTTGACTCTCTGAGGGTCTAGTGGACCCTTGTAGTCTTTGGACCACTGAAACTCTGAGGAGTCGGGGGCTTCGGGGGCTTCGAAAGCCAAGTAGATAAAGCCCTCTTCATCCACACCAACCTCGATCTCCCGGGCATCTGAGGGCAAGATTTGTAAACCATATGTTTATGAATAAGAAGCCACGCCACGCCTCTCCCCTGCTAAAACCCCCCAGTGCCTGTCCACCACTCTGGATAGAATAATATACTTGGCATCATACTGTGGTTGCCAAGGCCTTGCATGATCTGGCTCCTTCTCAGCTCAGATGTCACCTCCTCAGAGAGGTCCTCCCTGACTATCCTGGCTAAGTAACCCCATCCATCCCATTGCCCTGTTTTGTTGTCTTTATAGCACTTTTCACTATCTGAAATGGCCACCGTCACATAATAATTTGTTCACTGTCATCTGCTCCCCGTAAACACTAGAGCAGGGTTTTTGCTTTCTCATTCATGCCTGTATTCCCAGTGCAGTGTGGGTGTCACCATGATTGTTGAATGAATGAATGATTAAAAGAATGGAGAGAGAATGTGCTTTCTACTCAGGAGAGCTGAGCGATTCTATCATGTACCAGCTGCATAACCTGGTCACATAATCTCTCTGAACTATCATAAAATCAGTTCCCATGTGGGGACGATGACCCTTCCTTCAGGCACTTGCTTGGGGATCAGGGAAGCATGATGGCCTGGCATGGCATCAGGCTTCTCCCCATGCCCCTTGAACTCTACCCGTCTTGAGGCCATAGCCCAGCACTGTGCACCAGCACCCTCCGGTCGCCCTACCTGGCTTGTCCTCTAGGAGCACCGGGTCAGTGGGCAGGGACGGTTGTCCCAGACCAGCTGAATTCATGGCCTGTACCTGGAACACGTAGCTCTTTCCTGGCTGCAAGTCAGAAACCTGGGGGCGGGGGGAAAGAGCACTGAGCACAGCACAACTCACCCCTCCCAAAACCCTGGCTCTGGGGTACAGGGGACCACTGGTTGGTGGACCCTTGAGGAGGTCACAGGCCACCTGGGGGCAGGGACAGGTGAGGAATACATCCTCCTCCCACTTACAAGGTTTTCTTTTTTTTTTCTTTTCTTTTTGGGTTAGGGTCTCATACTGTTGCCCAGGCTGGAGTGCAGTGGCATGATCACAGCTCACAGCAGTCTCCATCTTCTGGGCTCGGGTGATCTTCCTGACTCAGCCTCCTGAGTAGCTGGGACTACAGGCATGCATCACCATGCCTGGCTAATTTTTTTAATCTTTGGTAGAGATGAGGTCTTGCTATGCTGTACAGGCTGGTCTTGAACTCCTGGTCTCAAGCAATCCTTCTACTTTGGCCTCTCAAAGTACTGGGATTATAGGTGTGAGCCACTGTGCTCAACCTTAATTTTTCCATTTTTGTAGAGATGGAATCTCACTATGCTGTCCAGGCTAAACTTGAACTCCTGGCCTCAAGTGACTCTCCTGCCTCAGCCTCCCAAAGAGCTGTGAGCCACTGTGCCCAGCCTGGGTCCCAATTTTTGAATGGGCCTTTCCATCTGAATGACCTCCCAGGCATGAGGCATCTGGAACTCCACCTACCTGAAGCTTAACCTTCTTCCTAGAAAGAAAAGTCTCTCACTTTCTGTGTTCCTCGTCTCTCCTCATGAAATAGCTGTCCATCCAACACCCCGAGGGAGGCCTGGAATCATCTCTGATGTCCTTGTCTTGGGCACCCTCTACCAGTCATCAACTCCACCCATTTTCTTTCCCTAACAGTTTCCCGAATGTGGCCATGCCCCTCCGAGTCCCAGCTGTGGCCTTGATGGAAGCCTTATTCCTCGTCACGTGGATTAGTCCAACAGTTTCCTAAACAGCATCTCTGCCACCGGACTCTCCTTCCCCAGTCTATCTTTCCCCTTGCCAATCTGATCATGTTAAGTCTTTCAGGGGCCTTCAGGGTCAAGTTCAGATTTCAAGGTTTGGTACCTAAGGTCTTCCTGACCTGGCCTTAGTCTTCCGTCCTCTTACCCCTCCATCTGTCACCTTTCCCCATGGCTCCCTTGGCGTCCCCACACTTGTCACATCATTTCAAGGTTCCCCGCCTTTGCCCCTGCTGAGGCCTCTGCCTGGAATGCCCCCCTGCCAGGTCTGGTTAACTTTAGCTCGTGCCCACACTCAGCTCGGACAGGTGCAAAGATTCCAGGAAGCGTCTCTGACCACCCTCCTTTGAGATCCCAGCATGCCTCAAAGTCCCCTCAATTGTAGCGTATATCATGCAGCCTTGTGATTGCCTGTGACAGCTGTGACTTATTTAGCTTTTCATTTCTAGGACTTGCTCCAGACCTGGCACTAATAGGAGTCAAAAGTGCTCAGTGAATGAGTAAATGGAGGTCAACCATCCACCTGAAGAAACCAGTGTCAAGTGGTTCCGCCCTGGCCTGGGCTGACCTACGTGTGGAGGTCACGAGACCATCCATGTGGGCAAAAACTGTGAAGTCGCGGAGGAATCCAGAGGCTGAAGCTGGTTCTCCCTGATTCTGTCTTAGAGGGGCCTTGATTTCCTTTGTACAAAATTATTTTTAATTTTTTCTGATTATAAAATAAATATGTGCTTGTTGAGAAAAATTTCAAGTAATAGAGAAGAATATTACAAAGAGGAGACCATCCTACCTCCAGAGATGACCAGAATCAGCAATTTGGAAAAATTCTTTTAGGCTTTTAAATGCACATAAACCATGTAGAAACACGATATGTGCTGGACTCTGTCTGTTAGTATCTTATTCTTATTATTCCCTCTTTTGGGGGCCTTTAAAAAAAATTAAGTTGGAGTCTCACTCTGTCATCCAGGCTGGAGTGTAGTGACATAATCACGGACACCGCAGCCTCAGCCTCCTGGGCTCAGGCGATCCTTCCGCCTCAGCCTCCGAGTAGCTGGGACTACAGGTGTGCACCACCACACCTGGCTAATTTTTAATTTTTTTTTATTTTGTAGAGTCGAGGTCTTGCTATATTGCTTAGGCTGGTCTTGAACTCTTGGGGTAAGTGATCCTCCTGCCTCGACCTCCCAAAGTGCTGGGATTACAGATGTGAGCCCCTGTCCCTGGCTGTCCTGGGCTTGGTGAGCCTTCCCTCTTTCTCCTTGGCACTGACAGAATGCTGCGGAGTGGTCTTGGAGACTGTATACCCTCCTGCCTGCTGGGGTAGACTTTTGCCATTATAACCAATGCTATAGTGAGTGCCACTGTCCTCAGGTCTTAGCATATTTTTGGAACTATTTTTCTATAATTCAACCCTAGCAGTAAAATTCCTGGGTCAAGGGATATGCATATGTGCATGCTGGTGTCCTGACTGATAGCAAGTGAGTTTTTAGGGAGGAGCCTGCCTAGCGTGGAGCAGGATAAGGCTGCCAGCCAACCAGACCTTCTACCAACTTGCTGTGTGATCTTGTGTAAGTCACTCTCCCTCTCTGGTTTTCTGCTACCATTAGGTGAGGGTGGTGATCTCTAAGGGTCATTCCAGTTATGTTCTGTGGTTCCAGTGGCAGGGCAGGCTCAGGGTTGGTCAGAAGATGAAGGGGCAGGAACTCACCCTTAGGTGGGTGCCAGAGATGGGGCCTGGAGTGACTGGCTTCCACTGCTCAGAACCTTCCTCCTGGACACTGACGTGGTAGCCTGTGACTGGTCCAGTGCCTGTGTACAGCGGGGGCTCCCACTGCAGCATCAGGGACGTGGCCCGCACCTCAGATGCCCGCACGTCGTGTGGGGGGCCTGTGGGAAATGAGAGATGGGGGAGAGATATATGAATTAAGCAGCCAGGCAGCCAGCCAGACGGCCTGCTGGCCAGCCAGACACACGGGCAGCGAGCTGAGGTTCAGTCAGTGAACTTGTCAATCTGTCAGTCACAACCAATCCTGAACGTGCTTGCTCCAGGTACAGCAGGGACCTGGCCCACCTTGGCTTCATGACAAAGCTTGGCTCTGGGCCTGAAACAGGGTTAACTCTTCAAAATGTGCTCAGACTCCTGTCCTGGAAGCTTCCCTGACCTTCCCCATCTCCGTTTGAGGCAGCATTACACCTTCTTAAGTCTTTGCCATTTCATTGTTTAGTGTCAGGCTAAAGGGTGTGACCTCTGAAGTGAGAACTCCAGCGTCCATGTTGTAGCTGCACTCTTCCTAGTTATGGGGACTCTGGACCAGTTACTGAACCTCTATGTTCCTGTCTCCTCATCTGTAAAGTGGGGATGACAGCAGCTCTTAGAATATGACACAATTGCGAGCATTAGTGAGCTGAGTTATGGCAGGCGTCTGGTACACAGTAAGCACCTAATAAATATTAGGTGTATATAATTGTTGTCTAAAGTGTCACACATTGTAGTTATCTGCCACTCAGATAAAGGTTTTGTGTAGAAAACAGAACTGAGTTGAACAGACTGATGGAAGGTTGTAATTGTTCCTTCCTAGGCGGGAGACAAGGGGCTAATTTGTGGTAAAGCTTATGGTGCTGTGGGAGCAGTGTGCAGAGTGATCAACCGGCCCTGTTTATCTAGGACTAAGGGAGTTCCTAGGACCTGGGACTTTTTTTTTTGAGTCAAAGTCTCACTTTGTTGCCCAGGCTGGAGTGCAGTGGCACAACCAAGGCTCACCACAGCCTTGAAGTCCTGGATTCAGGCGATCCTTCCACCTCAGCCTCCCTAGCAGCTGGGACTATAGGTATGCACTACTATGCACGGCTAAATTTTTAATTTTTTTGTAGTGACACGGTCTCACTATGTTGCCTAGGCTGGTCTTGAACTCCTGGGCTCAAGTGATCCTCCTGCCTTGCCTCCCAACGTGCTGGGATTACAGGCATGAGCCACCGCACCTGGCCTGACATGGAATTTTCAGTGGTAAACTGGGAAAGTTCCAGACAAACCAGGACGAGGTGGTCACCCTTTGAAGTTCGAGACTGGTCTGTAGCCAGGAAGCGAGCGCAAATGGTGTTGAGCTGGAGCATCATTTGTTCTGAGGGTACAGGTAAGGGTCCTGTAAGGCAGGGTTCGGACTCAGTGTGTCAGGGATTACAGGGTCAGTCTGTGGAGGGGCCAGGACCCACAGAGCAAGCCTGAATGCACAGAGTGCAGTGGTGCTCATCTCAAGGCTAGCTATGGAGAGGGAGTGAGGACAGGCCTTTCGGCCTCCAGGCCTCTTACCTGGCTGGGGCATTGTCCACTCCTTACACTCAAACAGGCCACTGGGCGCTGACAGCTCGCCAACACCTGCCCAGTTTGCAGCCCGGGCCCTGAATTCGTAGAAGTGGCCTTCACGAAGGTCACTGACCTTGAAGAGCAGAAACACAATTCTGTGAGGCCGAGGATGGAAAGGGGAAGGCAGGAAGGACAGCGGCAGGGGAGCGACTCAGAGCAGGAGGTCTGTGGGGTGTCGGATGGAATAATCAAGGCAGGAGCACTGGAAGATGAGCCTATGACTGAAGCAGGGGAACCCCAGGCCTCTTTCAGATGCCAAGCCTCAAACAGCGCCTTAGGCCTCCCCTGTAGAAGTGGTGACAGCCCGGGGCCACATTCCAGCCTTACCTTGCAGACCCGGGTCGGGATGGGCTGCTGGTTGACCGCGTGCCAGTCCAACTCCTCTGAGTCCCGCTGATCCAGGAAATAGCCCAGGATCTTGCCCCCTCCACGGCGCTTGGGAGGTTTCCACCCAATGACCATTTCGTTCTTGCCACAGTTCAGCAAGGCAAAGCCATACGGGGCAGACGGGGTTGCTATGGGAGACAACGAGGTTAGGTCAGTTATTCTCCGGGGGTGGACTGGGCAGCGGGGCCTGAGGAAGCCAACAAGCCTCCCCAGTGGGTGCCCACCTGCTCCAGGGGATACTCCCTGAGCTAGTAACATCTGTCCTCCTGGAAGGCACTGGAGTCTCAGGTTACCGAGCCTGGGGCCCTCCCCTTCCCCTGGAGCTGATCAGGCCTCATCCCATGGCCTCAATCCACTGTTACCTCCTCCCCAGAGGAAAGGGTGGCAGGGCCTGCTCCCCCTCTCCTCAGAGGGCTTATGTGCCATTGGCCACTGGAACTGGACCCTCCAAGATGTGGTCTATGAGCCCCCTGCCCAGCCCAGGTCCGTCCCTAGAAGCATGCAGGCTGAACCTGCCCTTGAACTTACCCAGAGCCTGTTTGACCCTGATGGGCTCGGTGGCGGCTGAGCTTTCACCTACCCCGGCCTCGCTGACTGACCTGACACAAAACTCGTACTCCTTCCCTGTCTTCAGGCCGGGAACTGTAAACCTGGGAGAGAAATGTGCAGGCTTCAGGGATGGCCTAATTGCCCGGAGACATTCCTGAACTTTCTAGAACTACCTTGTGGGATCAGTGGCCACCAGTGTGTTAGGATTTGTGAATTCTGGGCTAGTTCTTACCTAAATATATTGTCTCTGATCCCCTAGTGATGCCTGAGATGGCACCACGGGAGGATATAGTCCTTCAGGTTTTAAGGGATGTTCTTCTGGGAACCACTTTAAAATGCAAATATGCTGGGAAAGTTACCAGCTTAAGGCAAAGGCCACCAAGCCCTGAACACCAGTGCTATCTGGTAGCTCTTCAGGACATTGGGCTCTGTCATTGCGAAAGAACAAGTGGCTGTGACTATCTGCATACATGCTGTGATTTAAAAACATGGAGTCCTTTTAGCTGGGCTCAGTGGCTCAGTCTGTAATTCCAGCACTTTGGGAGGCAAGGTGAGTGAATTGTCTGAGCCCGCGGGTTTGAGACCAGCCTGGGCAACTTGGTGAGACCTCATCTCTACAATTAAAAAAAAAAAAAATTAGCAGCATGGTAGTGTACAACTGGAGTTCCAGCTACTTGGAAGGCTGAGGTGAAAGGATCGCCTGAGCCCAGCAGGTCGACGCTGGGGTGGCCATGAGTGTGCAACTGCACTCCAGCTTGGATGACAAAGTGAGCCTCAAACTGAAAATAATAATAATAATAATAATAATAATAATAATAATAATAATAATAATAAATAAAAACACGAGTGCTTTTAAAGAACCCAAAGAGAGTTGTCATCCAGAGACACCCAAGGACACTTGCCTTAGAGTAAAATGTTCTTATCCTATTCCTTACTGCTAAAAGCCAGGTTGTGGCCCTTTTTCTCTCTTCTCATGTATCAATATTTTCTGTAGCAAATCTTGCTTTGCAGGTAGCTTCTCTCGGCCAGTGGCCCCTGGGGAGACTTAAATCACACCAAGGGTTGATGGCTGAAAGAATTTCACACTCTCCATTTGGGGGCACACACAACTAAAGGGGAAACATGGACCAGGCGCCATGACTCATGCCTATAATCCCAGCACTTTGGGAGGCCGAGGCAGGAGGATCGATTGAGCCGAAGAGTTTGAGACTAGCCTGGGTAACATAGTGAGACCTTGTCTCTACCAAAAAATAAATTATCCAGGTGGGGTGGTGCATGCCTGTAGTCCCAGGTACTTGGAAGGTTGAGGCAGAGGGATGGTCTGAGCCCAGGAGGTCAAGGCTGTGGTGAGCTGTGACCATGCCAATGCACCCTAGCCTGGGTGACAACACAAGACCCTGACTCAAAAAATAAAATAAAACAAAGGAAAGGAAGCATGAGTTTATGAGAGGGAGGGAACACTGAGGGGGATGAGGGTTAGGGTTAGGGCTAGGCAGCCCCTGGACAGGTGAGCCTGGGCGTGACTCCCTGGATGGGACCCTGTGACAGTGGATGGCGATGACGACCCTGACATCAGCAGCATGCTCTTGTGTGGCACTCACTTCACATACATCATCCAGGTGTTCCTCATGACATGCTCTGAGGAAGATACTGTTACTTTGCCCTCTTTTGGAGACGAGAAGCCCCAAATGTGGGAATGTTGGAGGGGTCCTCACGGCTCAAACTGTCCAGTTTCTTTCTTTCTTTTTTTTTTTGAGTTGGAGTTTCACTCCATCGCCCAGACTGGAGTGCAGTGGCCGCTGCCGGCCACCGCAGCCTTGACCTGCTAGGCTCC